AGCTTTACAATTTTCACTCCCAGAGTTGGCCCGGCGGGAACAAATTGACATGTTTAAAAAAAATCGTGCAAGGGCTCAAAATATTTTGAAACACATGAGCTTTGAAAATCCACATGGCACTTTGAAAAATTCAATATGACCGATCAAATATAATGGACTGAGTTATTTAATTTTGGAATATAGAGTCCACCATCTTTAGTTTTAGAAGTATGTCCTTTGGTTTATAATCAACGGCATCAAAATCACCCTTATACCAAATTTTGTACAAATAGGTTGATTTTCGAAAACTTCGCCCCCTATCTTGAATCCGCCATATTGAATTTGGCACATCTGACCGCAAATTCGTGATCAGTGACCTATGAAACACCCGTATACCGAATTTGGTTTAAATCAATTGATTTTTAGAAATTCGGCAACCATATTGGATGTTAGACCTCGATATTGAAACCGCCATTTTGGATTTTGTCTACCAACCACGCAAGTTCTTCAGGGGCATCTATCAGGTACAATTTTGGCTATAAAACTACCTGGTCCGTTGCGAATTTTCATTTTTACAACCTTCTTTTGCTAGACTTATGATTCTTCTACGGCTTCTGGCTGCCATATTGGACCAGCCATATTGAATTTATTAATATGCCACTCGACATTTGAAGGAGGTTCTTAATACAAGTATTTTAAGCCCTTGCACGATTTTTTTAATCTTTACAATTTTTGTTCCCAGCGGTGGCCTGGTTGACGTGAAACGTCCCATAAACATTTTAAATACGTATACATGATGAGCAAACTTTCAAAGGAAGCCGTTTGTCAAATCAGCTCATTTTCATACGTTTTAGTTTTTTGTGTAAAACATTTTGATTTGTACCTGTTTTATTTGCTGACACGTTTTTTCTCTAAACTGTTATTTTTTTATTTTATTTTACTGTTTGTGATACGTCATCTTTCAATATTTCAAATTTCGGACATGATTGATACTTATTCAAAAAACAATCAGGCTGTAGATTTTCGCACAATGTAAATTTTAAGCAGTCGTTGTAGTTTTGTATTTTATTTTGTAAATTTTTTGTCATGTTTTGTAAATCGGAAGCATCAAGCATATTTTTAAATTCTCATGTACTGGACATACACATACACTGTGTGTCCCTTTATCACCAGCAAGAATACACCACTCCGGTCTGAGCTCAGCAAACTTGCTCAAACTTACTGGATTTTTTGTATTTTATTTCATAAAATCTTCATATAAAACACACACATCTGAGAGAAGTAAAGGTTTCTGTACTTTATGTTTTTTCCCGTCCTTTCTTACAATAACAGCATCCTTTTTGTTTGCCATAATCTGACTATTTTCATCTGACTCATAAAAGTTCACAATCTTTGCAACTGTATCGGACGATAAAGTTTTATCTGCTCTCGGAGATGTCATTGCTAAAATACCCTTCGTTTTTTTAAAAATTCTTGCTTTTTCAGCCATTCTTCTTCAAGTTTCAAATTCTTTAGCTACTTTTCGTATTGACCAAAAATCAGGAGCCGTTGTAAGTATTGCTACGCATAAAGGATCGTTAGGTGGCAAACTTTTGAATCGTTCTTTAAATCTATTTAATAATGGTTCCAATTCGTCTTCTCGAAAAAACATAATTTTTTTTTGCTGGAAAACAATCAACATCACTTTCAGACATATAACTGTTTTTAAAGAGGTATCTTCATTCTGAGAAACTCCACTATCTGACAAAAGTTTACTATTTTTATAATAAAGTTTCAGACAATCCATTCAAATTTTGGAAAACTTTGAGCACTGTGGAAAAAATTCTAACGTACTCTTGGTCATATTTCTCCAATTTCTTCCTTTGTGACTACTGATTCTGAAAGAATTAGCACATCTATCTGAATGTAAGCTTTTTGCAACATTTTCTTAAGAAGGAGATATAATATGCCTTTTAATTAAAACACATTGGACATTAAATAATGTAAATAAAATTATTCTTATTGTTATAAACACTTTTTTTACAGATATTACAAAACCAATCAAAGAAGTAAATTATATATGCTAGACATATATTATTTCTCACTTACACATTATTGATAACTGTAAAGTATATTATTTAAATAATGTGGGACTATTTGATCACAGTTTATGTATAATAAAAGCTACAATAGTTGCAGTTCTCAGTAAAGATACAAACATATATTAATACTTTAATTCGATATCTTATAAAATCATTTTAAGAAT